TAATAGTTCGGTCGAGATTCAGCTTGTGGCTAGCAACACCGGGGTCGATTCCCTTCATATCCTCGTGTTTCCAAGCGAAGATGTCAGAATTATTCTTGAGAAATGCTACGAGTTCTAATCGAAGGGGTTCTTGAAGATGGCTCCCAATGCGTAGTGGTTTTTGGCATGTTGGTTCATCAATATGGATCAACTCCACTTCTTCTCTGGGTTCGGCTCGATCACTTCGACTTTTCTCTTTGAATTGAGTCCTTGGGTCCAATTCATCTTCTTCTGGGATTGTTTCTTTTCCAGGCCGTCTACCTCGGTCCTCAGATAAAGGGTATGAGGTGACGGGGGCAACGACTTCATGACTCGGTTCCTCGGACATTGTATCATCTGAAGTGACTGATGGTATGGAATTTCCTTCGTTGACCGAAGTGGCGGAATGTACTCCGGTGGATGGTATGAAAGTGATAAGTTCTCGAGCTTCCCTTTGATCTCCGCAATGCGTTCCTTCACCACGTATCGTCGGGAATTTAAGTGCATAATGCAAAATAGAGAGCGCAGCTCGGAGTTTGTACAGGGCAGTTCTTCCGCTGATCGCGTTATACTTGTTGTTGATGTCAAGAACTTTAAAAGTCTCCATAACAAGCTTGGTTACATGCTCGGGCGTGCCGAATCTGACAGGTAGGGTGATTTCGTCGATGGGCTTCGAGATGCTTCCGTTAAACCCCTGTATTTGATCATTACAAGGTCGGATATCCGCTGGGTCGAGACCTATTTTGTCAAAGGCTTTTAGCATTAAAATGCTTGAGTAGGCCCCATTATCGACCATGACACGGTGAACCGGGATCCCACATATTGGAATGGTGATGACAAGTGCGTCTGAATGAGGGTGAGCAAAATGGTTTGCATCTTCCATGTTGAAAGTAATGGGGCAGTTCCGTGGTGAAAACATGCTTACCCGAATTATAGGCTTGCCGGGCGTAGGCTTTGACTTGTCGACGGGATGAGGTACCTCGGGAATTGTTAGTATTTATTCGATGAACGGTGATTGGCATCGGACTAGGAGATCGGCTTTGTTTAAGTCCTCGGGAGTTTCCGGTTGACTCAACAGTGAGCATTTCCGAGGTGAACATGAACACTTCTTTCTCTCCTTGCCGAATTCGCTTTGGCGCAACACCTCGGTCTTCATCCTCATCTTCATCATAGGATTCAATTTGATGTCCCGGCCCCCGTTTCTGGGTATTAGA